CTCTCTCTCTCTCTCTCTCAAAAAAAAACAAAAAACAAATAAACAAAAATACAGAGTTCAGAATTTGACTGCGACACAGTTCATCCACACCAGAACCTATTGCCATATAATCTCAGCTATTGATAAGCCCGAACGAGGAAAAAAATATTCTATTTGACTGGAATAATAAAGGAAAAGAAAAGAAGAACTTAAAACACATTAAACACATTGACAAAAAGTTCTATGATGTAAGACTGGGGAGGGCAACGCGGTTAACCCTATCCGTACGCCTGGGGTCATTTTGTACCCCAGGGGTTATACTCTTCACATTTTAGAATACTTCTACTGCAAAGATCTCTTTGGAACTTTCAGTATGAGTATTTCTCAAAAAATCATTTTGACAGACTGCTATGAAAAGCGTACGGATCGGATTAACAAGTAAATTTCTTCTTTGGAAAGTGGGGGCACAGAGTTCCCAACGTAGTATGGATATGATAGTAAAACACGACGTATGGATAGGGTCGGATGGGGTTAAGGGGGGGCGAGGGGGGTTTACATAGAAAGACGGACGACCAGAGAGTATGGAGTTTGATTAAGAAGAAGCACATTGACATAACATAGCTGCCCACCCCTCTCTGTGGCTATCAGGGACAACCTTGCTCAGAATCAGGGACATTGACTAATTATCAGGGACACCTTACTCATAGTCGTTATACCTTTATACTGCACACCTGTCAACTCTCCCGATTTTTTCGGGAATCTCGCAAATTTTCGTCTTTTCCCGAGCAACAGAAATCTTGTTCAATTTCACGAAATTCACACACAACAAAAAATAATTATAATGTTAATGTCGTCAGAATACGAAACTGGCGTGCCATGCCGGCCCTAGGCCTGAACCCTTGCACTATAATAGTGTAAATAGGTGAGAGTTAGAGGAAGATATATTAATATTATTATCATTATTATATTACCGACTCATTCACCGTCATAGTACGCCCATGACATGATATAACTCAAATAACTGTCTTCGAACTCACGGGCAACACTTAATTTCTCCAAGAGTCGATCTCTCTTCAAAATTCCCTATTTCTGATTTTCGACAGTTGGCAGGTCTGAAACTGGTTTGCAACTGTCGTCTGCTAGCACCGAGGAAAGCTGTTCTGTCGCTCAGTAAAGTTAACAAAGTCCGTAAACCGTCATAAATCTAGACCTAGCTAGGGTGGGGTGAGAGGGGGGGAGA